ACATGAGTAAATTGCTCATTAAGTCCCTTGAGAAATCGGATGGAATAGTCTCTGTCTCTGAGACTTTTTACTTGAGAAGAAATCGAACAACAAGGTTTAACACACTTACAAGTAGGTGTTGGCTGTAAGGATTCTAATTCATCCCATAAAATTTTCAGTTTAGTGTAGAAATCCGAAACTGAATTCTCTCCCTGATGCAGACGAGAGATCTCATCATGCAAATCAGAAATCCTAAAAATGTCAGATTGAGAAAACCTCTCTTTGAGATCTCTCCATACATCTACTGCACGACCCATCCATAGAATCGATTGTGAAATAGAAACAGTAATGGATCGATGCAACCATGAAAGAACCATGGTATTGCATCTCTCCCAAGCAGCATACCTTCGATCCGTCAGATCTGGCACTGAAATGGATCCATTGACGAACTGAAACTTGTTCTTGGATATCAAGGCCATTGCCATTGCTCTGGTCCATCCATGGTAGTTCTTTCCATTCATTAGTGTAGAAACTAATACAAGCGATGGATTCTCGTTCGGATGTAGGTAGTAAACACTGTTTGGATCTGAAAAATTTTCTGGTCCATGCACCGCATCTACATTCACATCTGCATGCGTAGCATTTGAACCATTTTCTTCACTACCTTGAGAAGGAATCTGATCCGCCATGGTTGCTTTTCTGTGGCTATCAGAAAGAAAGACGAAGGTTTCAAGGTAAAATTACGAGAACAAGAAGAAGAAAAGAGCGCAAACGGAAGCGATGAATATCAGAGCCCTAAAGCTCTGATACCATATCAGAATGAGAGAATACCAATGATCTCATAGCAGAGTAAAAAGGGTAAAATGAAATCTGATTAATAAAGTAAGAGTAATCAGCTTATATATAAGCTGCATTACATGAGTAAAACAGAAAAGGGCTAATGAACCTATTAACCAACTAACTAACTTGCCAGCTAGGCAACTAACTAACTAAGTAACAAACTTACAGATAACCACGAAATTAAATACAGGAGTAACAATTTGACTCAGTCATATCTATTTGCATAAATAGATATATAATAATATCAATAATGATATTATGTATATTATTTTTTTAATCTAAAAACTAGCATAAACATTTATAAATTTGGGGATAGGGGATTTAAATTTGGTTTCTTAATTTTGGTGGAAAGCCAAGTTATCATCAACGAAGGGGGAATCTCTTTCAAACCATGTTTCACGGGTCTGCATGTGGTGGACAATTATTGGTCCATATCATCAACGTTAGAATGATTCAAGCATGTATTCATCGTAAGATCTTTTTCCCGAAAGCAATTCATTTACTCTAACCATGCAAAACCACTTTTAGTATTACAATTCAAGTATGCTCTAAATTCATGTAAATTAAATTTCTAAAGAAAGGAATTTTTTTTATTTTTTTTTTATATATAGATTACGTCAATCAAATTTTCAATAAGATAGCGTATCAATTAGAATTGGAGTTTAAGCAGAATACGGCACGACTCATGCATATAATAATTAGTGAAAATGAAAAAGCGGAAGAAAAGGAAAGAAAGAGTTACTCTTGAAACATTATAGTTGCAAGTTGATAAAGTTGTGAGATATATATAACATGATTGTAAATTTAAATCTTATAATATAGTCTGTCTCTTTTTCTTTTGTATTTTTTGTTTCACTGATTGTAAGATACTCTCTTATTTGCACGAAAGATGATAGATAATAAGAGAGTATATTTCTCAGCCAAAGAAATAATGAGAGGAAAGAAAAGAGGGGATGATGTGAGGTGGCACATCGTAGGGGTGAAAGTGGCCTCCATGTCACTAGAGTAAGACGTGGAAAGCATTGAGGGTGTGGATTTTTCCATCTTTATATGGGAAAAAAATTGAAAGGACGGTGCCCAAATGGAATTTGGCTGCAGATTCAGGGAACCAACATCCTTTTTCTGCTTTTCTGTTTAATGCCAACTGTGATGTCCATGTGGGTCACAATGGAGAGTGGGGTTCATTTGGATGGTAGTGATCTTAGGGTCCCACATCACCACCGCCCCCTGCCTCCCTTGTTGCCTTTTCTTTGCCTAACATCAATTTTAAATCTTTGCATAGCAAAAAGGAGCTCGCTTCTCAGGAAAAAATAAAAAGACCTTAAATTTGATAATCATATTGACCCTTGGCAGAGGAAAAAAAACACTAGCCTTTTCACATTTTACAGCCACCGAGGATTGTGTCTGCTCCGTCATAACGTATGCCAGAGCTGCACTAGTTATATTGCATTCAATTAGTACTAGCCTTAGAAGACAAAAACCTTAGTCAGTCAGTACTACACACATTCAATTATTTGGTAGGTGTATTATACTAATTATCTGCAGTGCTGAAGTAATTGGGTTTGTTAGGGGGACCGAAACTACTATGTATGACATAAGCTCCTTTTTGGCAGAACTTAGACTGGCATCCTTTAAAGTGTAATGGGGTTTCCTTGATCACCTATGGATTCCCCTCTCGCGAATAGTATTCTTCAATAACACACATTTCACATTTATAGTCCATTGTAAACATTATTTAGGATAATTCTTTTGAATTTATTATATAAAGAATCGTTTCAATTCATAAGTGATGAATTTTTAATAGTTTGATATTATATATCTCTAACACATTCCTATTCCTTATGTAAGAATTTTTTAAGCTTAAAGGCTAGATATTACATAAATTCATTTTTTTTATTCTGTTTTGCGCTTAATTAACTTAAATTACGAGAGCGGTGATGATCGAACTTATGAGTTGTGGTCCTATGATCACCTTGACTTTGATACCATATAAAAAATTATTTTAACTCAAAAACTTAAGCTATTAAGTGATGGGTCTTTAGTGATTTTATATTATATCTTTTTAACAATATATTTTATCTCACATGAAACAATTGGAAGGAAAAAGATATAGTTCTTTCACATTTTTATTGATTGTGTAAATCTTTAAATAAATGTATTTTTATTCAATAAAGTATATTAAAATATTTTTTGTTTATTATATTCTCAAATTTTTAATAAAATCAAATATAGGAAAGTCTTCCCCTCTATTTTTTTTAATGATACCAATTAAACAAAGTGATTATTCTTTTACTTATTTCTTTTTTAATTTATTCTTTCTTTCCTCTTCCTCTAAATTACCAAACAAATACCTGGAATACGGTTCATCCATGCTGTTTTGTTCGGAAAATCATTACTTATTTATTAGAACGGCATCCAGATTCTAATTTTATGAGATTTAGGATATGTATGGCAATAATTGTTTAAAAAATTCATTAAATTAAAATTATTTTTTGAAAAAATAATTAACAAAATAATTAAATATTATTAATAATGACAAATTAATTATTAATTTTTTCTTCATAATTTGTAAAAAAATATAATGTTCACATATAAAAAAATTATTTTAATGAATTTATAAATTTAGCATTATTATTTTATTATTAAATTATTTGAGTAAAATGCTATGAATAATTCTTATTTTTTTCAACAGCAATATTTTGAAATTGTTACAAGTTAAAAAAATGTTAAATTTATTATTTGCAACGATAGTTTAATGCCTTTGAATTTGCAGGTTTTCTAAAACATTATGTCGGATAAATAAAAATTATTTACGGTGTTGGATATTATTTACTCAAATAATTTAATGATAAAATAATAATTTTAATTTAATTTATATGGAATAAAAAATAAAGATGACAGTAAAATTTAAGATGGATGTTTAAAATTGTACCACATGTTCACATGGCGGAACTTGATGACTCCCTTTGGGATCCACTAATAGGACTAGTTTTTCAAAGTCATTTCTAACGGAGCTCACTAAATTCTACCAGATAACAACTTCAATTAGCAAAATTGAAAAAGGTGACATATAAAGAAATTATTTCCGTAGAGGGGTATTTTAAAACTTTTTTTCTGCAAACTAAACTAAGATAAAATCATCTACAACAATTTAAAAAAAAAAAAATATTATTTTGGAGTTTGGAAAAAATAATACAGGATATTTTAGTAAAATTTATGAAATAAGAAAAAAAGTAAATTTTTTAAAATATCCTGAATTTTTTATCTAGCTCTTAAGATATCATTTTGGGATTATTTCCTTATCTTCTCTTGTGAAAAAATATTTTTTCTTTAAACAAAATAATTTGAAAAAACGTGATACTCCTGTGCCTCCTGCCTTCGTTTTTATTGCCTGATTTGCCTTTGTAAATAATTTTAAGAAAAATTTCACTTTCAATCATTGTGGTTACAACAATTATCTCTTAGACCCATCATAGTTATAGAATGTATCATTTAGTCCCTCAAATGTCTAAAATATTCTCATTATATAAAATATCGATAATATTCTTAATAAATAAAACTCTAAATTATATTTAAAAAGTCAAAAATATCCCTTATTAAAAAAGACATTTTGATTAAAAATACCTAATTTTTTTACACTAGTTGAGAGTTATCATGTACATATAATCTTAATCTCGATATCTCAATCCAAGGAGTAATGCTTTCAATGTTTATTTCTCGACAAAAGTTAAAGCAAAGTTCACGAGTGTAATGCTTCCATTGATTATTTTTTAGTAATCTTATATTATATAACTACGATGAGTTTAAGTGATAAATTTGAAACCATGAAGCTAAGCGAAAATTATTATAACCACCATGGATGAAATTGAAGTTTTTTCAATATTTTAATTTAAATAGTTTTATTAGCAAGTTCTGATCAAAATAGGCTGTCTCTTCAATTTTGAAGGAAACAAATAAACCACAGGAAGCAAAAACATTAACATGATCTATTTTTATTATTATTATTATCATTTCGGGTACCTTGATCTCTTTAATTTCTGTCACTGACATGAGGTGTCTGCTTTGAAAAGATTCTTCCAAGTGGCCACTCACTCTCTGTGTCACCAGATTTATTCTCCTATTCAATACTATACGCCTCTATATAAACCTCTCACTTTGATCAACTCCTCACCTCAGAAACAAGCATTCTTTTCCTCTGCCTTCCTTGCTCCTTCATACACCCTTAAATCTTTCTTTCATCTCTATTACGTTTGCATTCCAAATGGCCAGTGTTGAGGTAATTCAAAGATACAGTTACTACTCTCTGGTTTTGTACATTGCAATATTTGTCCATGTGTAGCTTAGTATCCTCTATAGTCTATGCAGATGAAGGAAACCAAAAAGTTTGTGACCCAAAATTACTATTTTGTGTGTTGCCTTATTTTGTTTGCAGTGATGAGTGATCCATTCTTGATAAACAAAACAGAACACGTTTGATCTCTTCAGATTATAAGTAGTTATGCATTGCATTTGGGATGGTAATACAGAAAAAGAAGTCTTGCGCAATAATAAATATAAGCACGACACATTGATCAGACTATTCATTTTTTTCTCATAACATATTGCTAGTTTTCATCATGCTCCCATCAATTTCTTAGTCTTTTTATTCACAAGAAAATACCTTGTTAAGCTTAGGCTTAGATTGCTTAGTTAAATGAAAATGGATCTTGCAGGTCGCACAGCAAGCACCAACAACTGTGAAAGAAAATGAACCAATCGAGGTAACCAAGATTGAGGAAACAACTCTAGAACAACCAGCTTCCAAGGTTCTTGCCCCAGAAACAGAACAACCAAAGGAAGAAACCACCGAAGAACCAAAGGAGGAAGCAGCAGCAACTACAGAAGCCCCGGCTGCTCCACAAAACGAAGTCTCAGTTGAAGATGAGACTAAGGAGGCAACAGAAGAAGTGACAGAGGAAACTAAGCCTGAGGTAGATAACCCAGCATCCGAGAAAACTGAGGAAAAACCTAAAGAAGTGGAAGAGAAACTGGAAGAAGAGAATAAGGAAACTACTGAAACAGAGTCAGCACCAGTGAAGGAAGAGAAGCCATGTGAGGAGAACAAACAAGCTGAAACAGCAGTGGAAGCCACCGCAGAAGTTTCTGTTGAGAAGGTTGAAGCTTAAATACAGGGAAAGTGTGTGAGGGGAAAGAAAGAAAGTTCAAATGAAGTCTAGTTGTTGTGATCAGTTCTACCTTTTTGCATGTCGAAGTTGAAAAGATTTTCTATTTTGTTTGTTATAGTTTACTTATCATCAATGTTATTGTGAAGGTAAGTCTTTGGGTATGGCTTTACGAGGATACGTAGCCACATCTAAGCACAGCTGAATTTGTTCCACATCAGCTTGCATTCCAAGTGGTGTATCCGAGAAATTCTATGGGTTATGATAAAAGTTAGGGGATATGGTTCCAGAAGGGTTCAACTAGTTTGGTCGTTACATGTTCCATTGTTCCTTTTGGTTTGAATGAAGCATATTTGCTTTTAGTCTTATAATTTTGTTAAAAAATCTATACTTTTTTTGCTTTGCTTTTATCTCCGCCTAAAACTTTTGATATTGCTTAGTAGTCGTACCTCAATTTATATATCCTGAACAATTCACCTTATATACATAATAAATATGAACCAGTAGACTATCTAGGTTTAAGGAAAATTACGTAAGAATTTCTACTTCCAAGATGTTTTGAGGTTCGATAAATGCAAGACATTCCGGGGAGAAAAAAGGAAAAAGTGAAGATTAATGAACATTGTGTGGAAGTGTATTTGGTTACTTCACACTGGTGACACGTTCTTTTGATAGTAAACGGATCAACCTACTCGTTTGATTTTAGAAAGAAGACTGCATCAATAAGATAATAAGAAAACTATTTCTAGAAGCAGAATATGATAAAAGACAACATAATTAAAGGGCAACTAAACGAGCCTTAAAAAACCTCAATGGTTATTTTCTTGTATAATTCTTGAAGAATTCGAATTAAAGATAACCAAAAGCTATGACAAAGTAATCATTATCTATTATAGCTAAACAATAACAACTCATAACAAAATAACCACATCAAAAAATTCTCCTTTGACCTGTAAAAAATTTTAAACAAAGACAGTTAGCTTGAAGTTTTGTTGTTTCTCTTTTTTCAAGGGGAGGGGGATGGGGAAGTGAGTAAACCTCAGCGGTAACCCGATCATCATAGAGAAAGACAAATAATTTGGTGGGCATATTCCCCGTCTGCATGGCATGACGAACTAACAGCTATCCACTAGAATGATAGATCATACAAATAGCGAATTTTCTTTCCTACAATCCTGTTTTATTGATATTTTATCCATATAAACATTTGACATAGACCAATGACATTGCATGGGGAACCTTCTCACATCATCCAATGAGAGAATAGAAGGAAGACTCCTATAATCTGTACAAAAGCTGAGTAACGATAACTCTATGTGCAGTCAAAACCACTTGTATCCAGATTGCAGGTGTCTTCATTCACCAAGTACCAAAACTGCAGCCAATGTGTTCTTGAGTAATGACTTCAAGACGATCTTGCATGACAGCCATAGATGAATAAACAGGGAAACACAGCCGGTAAAAGCATGTGTGAGAAGAAGGAAGGCGATCACCAGGTTCAAGGGATCTGTAAATGTTGAGACGGGAAGCCAAACCCCGGAAACCTTCAACCGGTAAATATTTCACAGATGTCCAAAAGAATAGAAGAACCTTCCTTTGTTCCGCTGTCATTCTCCCAACAATCTGCCAAGTTTTTTTAACAGAACATAATATTTAAAAATGTAAATACTGAGCAGCAACACTTGGCAAATCTTGAAATACTGATTTATTTGAAAAACATTCCGTTCCAGAACTAATTATTCTGAGGATGCAATAATCACCCAGTTTATGTTAAAAAGAGATTTTAAGTAAATTAAGTAGAGACGGGGGAAGTTGATATTCAGACTTCTCAACAAAAGGTGAAACTATACGCTAGCATTTTGGACAAATTCGCAACTACATCAATACATTTTGTTATGAGACTACAATTCAGCATAAAATGGTACATTCAAAATGTTTAAAAACTAGGTGCTATCAGGATAAGGGCTCAAATTGACAATCATCATCAACACAACTTTATTAGCCCGGTTGTAGAGAAGGAAATTTTGGCAAGGTGACACCACTGTCACTGAATATTTCAACACAATATTGACAGAAGCTTGACATTTATCAAGCGATTGAGTGGAAGTGCTACATAGACAGCAAACAATACAAAAATCTCGTGCAGAAAGAAAGGTTACATGATGGCAGTCAACCAATCCTACAATACCTAACACGGAACCCAGGTAGAGAGGCCTTCATTTCAAGAAGAATCTGAAAAGAGGTATTGAAAAATATGGTCACATGGAGAAGTAAGAAACAGTCTAAAGCACAAAGCAATGCTGAGACTGAATTTATGGCCATGGCCCATGGTATTTATTTCTGAAGGAATTTGGTTGCAAAGAATGCTTAAGGAACTTAGAATCCATTCAAGCTACATTACGAAAGTCCTATGTGATAACAAGGCTGCCATAAATATTGTCAAGAACCCAGTTCATCATGACATAACCAAGCATGTGAATATTGACTGTCATTTTGTAAAAGAAAAAACTGACTTTCAATCTTGAGCACATACCCTCGTGCTTCCATATAGGAGACATTTTGACTAAAGCTCTTCCAAAGCTTACTTATGAGAACCTGGGATCCAATATGGCCATGATAGAGATCTACCATCGAGATTGAGGAGTGTTGGTGATCAGTTCCTGATCCTTAGGGATAGACAGAATTGGAAAATTCTGTCTCTTATGTACAGCTATATGTAGGTATTAGTTTATATGCTTTATGAATTCTCCATCTGTAATTTTGGTTATCATTTAGGGAAAGATTGCCTCTCCTATTTTGTAGGCCTAGCGTACAGCCTTTTACCCAAGATCCCTATTTATGCTGCCATCTTGTTATCAAGTGAATAAGAAAAATACAATATTTTATTGAACTACTGAATAGTGTCTTTGAAAACAAGGTTTGACAATTATGATTTCAGACTTCAGTAACAAAAACAATTACTTTTTGGAGGGATAAATGAACTTAAGAGAGACATTTGTAAATGATGTGAAGCACATCAAAGGTTGAACCTATCTAAGCTAGAGGAAAGGAATAATTTACACTAACGCATAAAAGGAAACTAGCATGATCGCTGATCATTTTAGGATAGAAGTGAATTCCAAAAGCAATGCTAGGAAAACAATTCCTTTGTGGAGATGGGGAAACTTTATAAGTAGCTAAGGCAGAGATGCTTTCCAAGAAGCAATAAGGCAATAAAAACCATTTGCTTTGTGGCTAAATGGAAACAGAGACAGCCTTCACATAGCAGGTACTTGTCGCCCACGAGAAAAAAAGAAGAAGGAAGTTAAAGAGATAGACACTGTAATTTAATAATAGAAGTATATACATACCTCCCAAAACCAAGATATCTGAATATCTGTCTCTTTATAGCCATTATACTCAGTGTGTGCTTTCCAATCTTCAACAGAAATGCTATCTTCACTCCCACACAGCATCCAATCAAGATCTTCGAGCTCTAAACTTTGAAAGAAGAACTGCTGGAGCTTTGAGTTTGAAAGAAGACTGGCAAAACCTTTGGCAAAATGTGACACCTGCTCAGATATGGATGTTACGAATTGATCCTTTATGAGAAGATCAATATAATTCTCCCTGTTCTTACTATCAACAACAAGGCTTTTCCCACCACGGCAGAGCTCAATCACTTTCCTGTGTCCTAATTCCTCCACCTCTCTAACAAATGTCAATCCTAATGCATCTGAATCAACAAAACCAGAATCCATCTCCAATATTTGCTTGCAGCTACTATACAGGCAAGGATCTGCATCCCTTATATCTTCTAAAGTAATATTCTTTCCAGCCAATTGTAAGAAAAACACACGATCAAAAACAATACCCACTTGCACCCTATGCATCAGAGCTAATGCAATAACTCGGCCAGCGAAGCTGAAGTACTCAAGGTGCAGAGGATGTACCTTAGATGCTTCAAACAAGTAGACAAAGGATAAGCTAAACTTGATTATCCAGAAATGCTTTAAAAGATTCAACTGATACAAGATATACAGCAGTTTAGAAAAATACCCACCACTGAACAAGTAACAAGCAACCCTAGTCCCTAATAATACTAAATAAGAACTCATGTTTAGTGGCAAAACACTCATGGTTGGACAGGTCCACAATGTAAACTTAAATATTTCAGTTTGAATAGCCTTTAACCTGTATATTTACATTTGATAATCGAATATGAGAACTTTGTGTAACAGACAAGGAGCCATTGGAAAGCACAGATACTAACAGATTGGTACCATATAGATTCATTTGTGTTTGCATACTCATAACTTTATCTTAAAATGTACCTAAAATGCATTAGATATATGCTCAAACATGATACAATGGTCAAAAAACACCCCCAAACGGCTGACTTATTTAACCTCTAGTAATTTTTAAGGTGAACATATAAATATATTAATTTTCATACATATAAAGAGATGTTAAAGGATGTAAGTATTGATTTTCGAGCTTCATGCCAAGCATGACGTTAGATACTTGTCCCCCACACCGCCAAAAAAATCGAAGCACCGTAGGCCTACTCTACAAGCCAGTGGAGATACTCCAAGGATTTCATCAAATAGGAGCACATTCCATTTAAGAAAAAGGCCAAGTCCACACCCTTCAGCTGAATTTTGTGAGGTTTACAAAGTAAGGCTGTAAGGCTTTGTTTTATCTTTCTACTTTCTTTCCTTTTTCTATTGCATTTGTTTCTTAGGTGTCTAACTTACTGAAACTTCTTTGTACAAGGGTTTTGAGCCTTGAATACTTGTTCAACATATTTCATTATGCTAATAAAGACCAATTTGTAAATATTCTATAATTGTTCCCATATGAGAAATGCAAGCCCTGGCCAAACATTTTCAATTTGAAGCTACTCTCCTAAAGCAGAGCAAACAAGCAAGGAGGGGGGGGGGGGGGGGGTCCATTTAGAATTTCAGATCAAACTTACCAGGATTGGGGAAAAATCTCTTTCGGTCATTTGGGCATGCAACAAATAAAGCATTTTGTGGATTGAATATTGCTTGAGATACCAAAAGAAACCACTCCCTTAGTACACCTGGGCCAGTAGCTTCCTCATTTTTGAATTCCATAAAAAGGCCAGCATGCAGAGATTCAGGCTCAGCTCGTGCTATGTATTCAAAAGATTCAGTCAATAACTGAGACCTGTCAATAAGCATCTCATGTAACTCCTCATAGTCTTCTTTTACCTCTGGGAACATCATCATCGCCAAATGCCTCCTGGACTCAAAATTTGTCACACACCTGTGCTCGAGAATCCACTGATGCTCGTCAGTCCTCTTTGCATATTTAACGATTAGTACACACAGCACACTTCTTTGACGCTTCAAAACGCTCCAAAGTTTTTCTTCAGCACCATCATAAAGCTTAGAAATTTGATACAATTCCTTGATAATGGAAAGATACTGAGAGCATGCAGGATAAAGAATATCCCCTTCCATTATTCCCTGGCTAGGCATGCTTTGCCCCATTTTTTGAAGGCACTGATCGATTTTGTTCAATAACTGAATGTATAAAAGGTGAAGGTATTCAATCTCTTCCACAAGCAAGAGGTCATTATGGTGTTTGTCAATCCTGAGAAGTCGCATTGCCGCTATTCCTTCCCTCAAAGGGTTTAAGAATGAGGAAAAATCAGCAACGTCATTGATCAAAGGCCCCACACGAGAGGGGGATTCCATACTCGAATCCAAATCCCTCAACAAGCTATTTGCAAGCTCACGAACAAAGGGGAAAATATCATGATAAGTGATCCATTCCGGGAAAATATCTTGATCCTTGAAGGATCCATTACCATTATCAAGAGCAAACAAGGAGACCTGGGTGGTTTCCAACAAGGACCCTAAAGTACTCCGACAAGAGAGATATAAAGGATCATGGGAACCTACTCTCATAAGCAATTTACAAAACGCCAACACCATACGGGCACACTGAGTGTGCAATGCCTTAGACCACATAGAACGACAACAAGTCAACAAATGCCTAATAGAAGAATCAGCACATTCTTTGTTACCTGAATAGGGAGAGAGGTAAAGCGTAACAAGCACAGCAGGGGCATTGGAAGAAATAAAAATCTGAAAATAACCAGAAGCTGATTCACTGTCAATCCTAGGGGTCATGTTCATGTAACTGCTTATGAGAGCCTTGATGGTCTTCAAAGAATCAGGAACAATCTCACCCCTACATAAACTACAAATGATTGAAATCATGTCGTTTATAACCTGCCAAGCCTGAGGGTACTCGGTGCTGCGCATGCGACCAACAAGTTGAAGGATGACATCGTTTTGTATGGAACACTCAGCGAGAGTCTGCTCCGATTGAAGCTGCTTACCACGGTAGATAAGCCTCTGTTCGAACAAAGGAATTCCCTTCATGCTTTGTATACGTTCGTGAATGGATTTCACGGTGTCCTCGGGAAAAGCCTTCATCACAATCGTGTTCCCTTCCGACATCATTCGAACGAAGAACTGCAAAACACCAGAACCCCCCGAACATGAAGTCACCGCTTTCGGCTCGTCTTTCCTCATCCTCACACAGACTAGGTCCGATAATTCTTCTTCGTCATCGTCGAATTTGCGCTTCGAGGGGTGACGGTGATGGACGGCGGGGGTTTCGATGACAGACATTTAGGACGCGCCGCCGCCGCGCGAGTGGGTCACTGGTCAGCGGAGAAAAAACCCATCATCAACATCAACGTCGTGCCACAGTTATTAATTGGTAGCGCCGCGTTGAAAGAAGAGAAACACAGCACTAAGCATAGAACTGAGACTGAGTCTGAGAGCGTTTTGGCATTGGGGTGTGTTGGGTTTTTGCTCTTCTTTGTCCTCGTCTTTTACCTTTTTCTATTCCTATGCTTTTATATTTATTTTGTTTTTTTAAGGATATTGTAACAACCTCAATAAATTTCACTGTTAGATCGTTTATGTTGATCCAACGGTTATATTTATTTTCATATTTGTATGGTCATGATTTCCCAAATTTAAAGTGAAAGCATTAAATATGAGAAATCATAACCATATAAAGGTGGAGATAAATATAAAGTATTAAATTTGGAAAATCATTACCACACAAAGATAAAAATAAATATAACCGTTGGATCAACGTAAACGATCTGATGGTAAGATTGATTGGTAGTAACACAACTTGGTTGTTACAATATCCTTCCCCTTTTTTTTAGAGTAAATATCATTTTTAGTCCTTAACAAAAAATACGGACCCCACTTTAGTCCCTTACAAAAATAAATTAGTCAGTTAGTCCCTAACAAATTCAAAGTAGACCCATTTAGTTAAAATCGCGGTCCTTTACAAATTCAAAAAAGACCCATATTAGTCCCTCAAAAGGACTAAAATGGGTCCAACTTGAATTTGTTAGGGACTAACTGACTAATTTATTTTTGTAAGGGACTAAAGTGGGGACCGTATTTTTTTGTTAGTGATCAAAAAGAGTCTTTACTCTTTCTTTTAATTTTCTCGATGTATACTTGACCAATAGTGGAAAATGAATTCTTTCGAAATAAAGAGATCACCGGAATAGGTTTTTTGCCCTTATCAACAAAAGTTTTTTCTACACATATACTCAGAGATCCAACCCCTATCATATTATTTACTACAGTAAATATCTTTTTTAGTCTTCGTCAAATTTCAAGATATTCGCTTTTAGTCTCTAATAAATAAAAAGACTATTTGTGGCCCTTAAAAGATTCAAAATGGACTCATTTAGTTGAAATTGTAATACCTCACAAATTTAAAAAAGACTCATATTAGTCTCTCAAAATAACTAAAATGAATCCATTTTGAATTTTCTAGAGACCACGAATAACTTTTTTATTTGCTAAGGACCAAAACGTGCATCGTAAAATTTGTCAAGGACCGAAAATGATATTTATTCTATTTATTAATTGTGTTAGGCTTTGTTATTATATTTATTATTTAAATGCCATATAACTATTTTTATTGTTTGGAAACGGTGTCGTCCAATGACGCAACTCTCAGCCTCCAACGGTGTGTATTTCGCTGCTGTTGCTGTAGGTCCCATTTAGACATGTGATTTGATTATGTGATTTTTTTTTTTTTTGGCACTAGATTACGTAAAAAGAAATTATCCATCTCATTTTTCATATATATTAAATATTTAAGATTCAATTGTTATTAAGGAAGAAATAGATAAATACAAATATTGTACATAATAAAATCTTAATATAAGAAGATCTGTTCTTTTGAGCGCTAGGCTGGCTCTTGGAAGTAGCGGATGCTTATTTGGAAATTTCACTTTCAAAGAAAAGGCTACCGTAGAGATGTCCTATCATCATTCATTCACCAAATAAGTTAGAAAAATCCAATATTTTATTTTTAAGTTAAAAATAAATAAATCTTTTTTATTAAAGTCATTCACACACTAATAAGATGGACATATCACTCACTTATTTTTAATTTAGATTTATTTAATCTATATTATAAATAATTTAAATTTTTACATAGAAAAAGTACTTATTAATGTGAAACTATGATGAGAAGATGCACGAATCAGATGTATGGACAGAATGAAAAATCTTTTATAACTTAACGTGAGACAAAGATATTGGATGATTATCACAATCATCTTTGGCGATAAATAAATAAAAAAAAAAATTGATCCTTAAGTTATATTGTCACGATCAACCTCATAACTCAATTGATAGGATCTTAAGTTTCGAATAATTAGTCCATGCAAATATAATGATATCATGTGAAAATATTTAATTAATCATTAATTAATAAATGGATAGATTTTTTTTGTTTTACAAACATAATAATTAAAAATTATAGATTTATTTGAGAGTTGATTTGTCAATATAGAAATTAAGAAGTTTGATGTGAATCATTTCGAATTAATTTCACTTATCGAACATTACGTAATTTAAATATGATAAAAAAAACAAATTATCCTCACATATTTGGGTATCATATACATAGAATTAATGCTTATTCTGATGGATATTAATTAACACTGATATTAATTTAAAAAATCCAAACATAATGTCCTCCTCAATTATATCTTCAATCCTAAAATTATGTGATTCAATATTTTGAGAATGAAAATCTCTTATTGCAAATCGTAAATGATTGTTGAGATTCCATATGACTTGATCATATTAAATTGATATATAAGATGATTTATTTCTCTAATTAAATTAACAAAACGAAAATAAAAAATCTCAACAATCATTGATGCACGTAGATCCGTTGTTGAGATTCTCATACGAATTCATTATATTAGCTTGATACATTATGATTTATTTCCCTAATTAAATTAATAACAAGAAAATAAAAAAATCTCTCAAAATTTTTCAATAAAAATCTTACTGTCTTTATTTAATTAATAAATAAAAATTGACAGTCTAACAAAGCCAATTCAGATAACAAACACAAGAAAAGAACTAACCTTAATTACATGTCGACCAAGCCCAAATCTAATTAACAAAATAAATATGAAATTACGTTCGTTGAAGTACTAATTGAATTAAAATGGATAACTAATGCTCCTTGTATGCAAGATTTGCTACTGACAGATACTATTATTATTGATCTTAACTCTAAAGTTGAAGATTTTGTTTTGAATTCAGTAGAATGGGATTTTGCTGGGTTACATCAGTGGCTCAGACCGAGTGCTATAGTGATACTCCAAGGAACGCTTCCTCCGTGCATTGCTGATGGCCCGGACAGACGAAGATGGATAATAGGAAGCAGTACTTCAGTTGCAGTAAAAGATGTATATGGTTGGTTGACTAATGAGGAGCAAGCAGGTGTGGAAGATTGTGATTTGTGGCCTTTGTTGTGGAGCTGGACTGGTCTTCAAAAAACAAAAATCCTGATGTGGAAAATATTGCATCACAAGTTGAAAAAATTAACAGTTGGGTAGGAGGGTCTGATCTGTGCCCAATCTGCAATGCTGAAAGTGAGTCAATTATTCATGCTTTGAGGAGGCGTTTGGTTGAGGAGAAATTTTTTGAATACTAGGGAAATGTAATTGATAGGGAAATGGTTGGAAAATGAGATAGGTAGGAAAATGTAAAAAAAAGTTGTTTGGTTGAGAAAAACTTTACCGGAAAAATTAGGTAACTTTTATGAAATATATGTTTGGTTAGAGGTAAAATATAGATGGAAAAACAAGTTGGTATTACCAAAATAACCCTGTTTTTAAAAAAGGTGTCTGTAATAGTCTTGTTGTAATTGCATTTTATGCTCTTCTGTTGGAGTTTGTAATTGCAGTGCAGATGGAGTCTGAGAAATTAGTTGGGTCTTCAGTCTTGTTTTCATTTTCAGTTATTTCCCTTCAATGTATGGAGGGATGGAGTCTTGTTACTTCCTTGTATTGATTAAGGTAACTCGTGCAGTTGGTTCTGATGAATAAAAAAATAGTACAGAGGCATCCCTGATATTTAAGGTTTAATTACTCATCAGCATAATACCATTATATTGTATTGTACCAAATTGTTTGTTTGTATTCGGGGTGCTCATATTGTTATTAAATAAAATATTTCCTCTTCATTCATCATTTGTGTTAGTTATTCATCTTGTGAAGGTGTATGTGTTCATGTATTAACCAAACAGGCACAATATACTCAAACCTCACAGTCCAAAATCATCTTTATAGAAATAGTTAAGTAACTGTAAGAGTTTTACAGATAACATACATTACTAATATTGTCATCACAGATTCACATGACCAATGAATGGCAGTAACAGTAAGTCAACTACTAATGCAACATATTTCTGCAAATGTCCCTTTCTGTATGGTTCTGTTTGTGATACTGTGTATGTTGATCATATAACTATGATGCCAGACACTTTCAATCTATGTTGTCCGGTAACTCTTTGCTTTAGATGACAACCCAAAAGTCTTCCCGCAGGGCACACACATATGAAATGTCAAACAGGACAGCAACAAATAGTACATAATCACCAACCTGCTGCATCTTCAACATGCCTGCTGCCATAGAATACTGTAAAATAAAAACACTAACCATAAGATAAAAAATATTGACTTAATATTGACTACCAAACTTAATATGAACATACCTGTTGGCAATTCTTGTAAGTACCACTTACCATACAATATCAGTCCATAACCATTTATGATACTCCAAAATTACAATACTGCAATATCCCTGTCATCATGACTCCAAAGCTAGCTTATATACCCACTTAGCCAGGACTGACTATTACCTTCTTTCTACAGATGGAAACTATTAACTGCCTCATCAGGACTGACTTTCAAGAGGTGGTTATAGTAATATATATGGAATAGGTGGGTGTGAAGACTAATGAGGGTACATAGGTGGATCTTGTATAGGAAGGTTAAGATAAGGTCATGTGAATGTGGCACAAAAATTTTTGTTTGACAGCTGTATTGAATAGGAGCAAATGAGGGATATATGACTGCTGATTTGGATAAGATGTTTCTGAAGTCAATTCTGAGGTCAACAACATGTTTCTGAAGCAAAGCAGTTGTTTCTAAATTCTTGTCAGCATAAGGTTTGTTTGTGGCATTCTTTATAGGATGTATCTCGCATTCTTTATTTCTGTCTCTATGATGTAATAATCAAACAACGAAAATAATTATGTTAACCATACAGATTTTCCGGTACATAAATACGGAATATACATAACCAAAAACGTAATGAGATACATATATGAAAAAAACAAGCCTTTAATCAAATATGCAAACGCCTAAGACAAGAATACGGTCTAACATAGCTCATATCACTTATTCAAGAAAGATTGAACCAAGGAAGACTTACTCGAGCGGAAAGGATGCATGATCTGTTGATGTGAATGTTGGTTCTGTTGACGTCACTCCTCTGCAACTACAATCGGTCGGCAATGATGCAGGATCTACGAAAAAAAGGGTCAATCGTCAAGCTGAAGTCTGACAATGTGGTTCCTTCCACCATGCATTTTGTGAAATAAACTTAAACAGAGACGGAAATGGTAAAGCACATATTTCTGGAAAGTAAACACTATAAGCTACTAAGTTGTTAAACGACACTTACTTCCTTGGTTACTCTTTTGGGTCACAATCGAACATGCAAAACCAGGGAGTTTTCTCTCGTCGTTTCCTGATTTCCTCTTCAACCCACAAAACGAAGATAAGCTTACGCTGCTGACCTTATCTTTCTTCGCGCTTTAGATGGGGGTAATATGGTCTGATGCCATTTGCCCTATCCTTCATTTCCCTGGCTAAGTTTGAAAAACCACATACAAATTGGCTTTCGTAACAGTGAATTTTCCTTGCTATCTACTACAAAATGCTGAAAGTTATGCAAATCGCTTAGATGGGGAAATTGAAGGAAACCGTGAACCAAACATGATTGTTTTGCTTTCCCACTTTCATTTGCGTAGACATCCTCCTAGATACCCGAACCAAACACCACCTAAGGGATTGTTTGGAGGTGAAAAAATTGTGGAGTAATTTGGTTCCTAATTTTTTCAGATCTATTTTCTTTGAAACTGATTTGGAGCATTGGTTGGAAGTTAATATGAAAGGAACAATGGGGCTTAATTTACCCGACAATTAGTTATCAACATTTTTCCTATCAGTGTGGAAGACTTGGTGCTGGCGCAATGAAGTTAGGCATGGTGCTACTATATTGGAACTGTCTATAAGGGAACGAATAATTAGAAATCTGGTGAGGGAGGTAGATCAAGTTTTCAATTCGCCTAATAGTCATCAATTGGGTAAAAGAACGGTGATAGCTAACATTTCGTGGCAGTTTTCGAAAGTTGGGTTTGCAAAAATTAATACTGATGGTGCTGCTCCAGCTGCTTGTGGAGGCATTATTCGAAATTCTTATGGTAATTGGATAAAAGGATTTGCCTTTAAACTTGGTTCTTGTTCAGCTTTTAAAGCTGAATTGTGGGGAATCCTTCGTGGGCTGGAAATTGTGTGGAGTGAAGGCTACCGTCATATTGAGATCGAGAGTGATTCAAGGAGTGCTATCTCTGTGCTCACTAAAAATGGTGCAGCAGTCCGTGAGGGTCATCTGATCACTCGGATATGGACATGGTTATAGAAAGATTGGAGAATTAAGTTTAGTCATATTTATAGATAGGGTAACACTTGCGCTGACTGAATGGCTAATTACATTCTGGATGCTGAGCAGGAAGTTGATAAAGTTTTATGTGAGACTCTTCCTACTGGGATTTATTTGTTGTATTTAGATGATCTTTCTTCTGTTGGGAGAGATCACGCTTTAGTCGTAGGCTAGTTGTCTGTTTGTTTTTGGGCCTTAGCGTTTTATTTACCAAAAAAAAAAAAAAGAATTAAGGGAAAAAAGTGTGTCATTTTAAATGACACATTTTAAATAACACACTTTACATTCTTTCACTCTCACATAGAGGTAGGACCCACATCTTTAAAACTTTTTCTTTCCACTCTCTCTTCCATGATTTATCTCTTTCTCTCACTTAAAATAACACAATTTTATATCATTTAAAATGATACACATTTTTTTAAACTTAATCATTATAAGTGGCGCAAATCTGATAAATTATTTATCTGTTGATCTAGAACCTTTAATAGGTCAATATATATATATATATATATATATATATATATATATATATATATATATATATATAAATATATTAATAAATAAAACTCAACATTGTCAAATAATGTGGATATTTATATAAGATGAGAGTTATATTGACAAATTCTTTTTTTTATAAACGTACACACTACACTATGTCTTACCAGTAAGATTTCACTGAAGAGTGTCTTACTCGTAAGACATAGTGTAATTTGTAAGAGTTTGTAAACAAAAAATTCGTAAATATAAAATGAAAAGAACGACATAGAGAGACGTTAAATTTGATTCTATTTTGTAGTAATTAACGCCATATAAATAATTTTATTTTAAAAATGAAAAGAACATAAAAAAGACTTGTTAAATTTAATTATACTTTGTATAATGGTTAGTATAAATGTCAAAGTCAATTTGAAAACTCAGATAACATTACGTACTTTGGCATTTATATAAATAATATTAGAGCATTTCTTTATCTGTTTCATAATTGTCTCTTCATATTTATCGTCTTCATACAGATAAAGGCTCTTGAGATAATCAAGTTGTATCTTGAGAATTTATGATGGGTTCATGATCGTTAGGACTTGAGTACACTATTTGATAATTTGCTAAATATTGTTCTTAGTTTAGAGTCACCAATAAAAGGTATTGGTGGACTCAATTAGACTAGTACGATATTGGGTTACTTACACAGTGATTTAAGGTACAGACTTCATGAATATAGGGATGCATATACCTTAGCTAATGTCATGAGTGAATTTCTTAGCGGAATAAATTGCACTTAACTGAAATGCCGAGAGACTGCACAAGAAATCTTTGCAAGATGTACCATTCGATACAGTTTCTCATTGTTTAGTAGTGTGGATCATCTATAGACTTTAGCTTGGCATCAAATATTGTGTCTAAGGGTCATACTTTGATTATACAACTCTATCCACATGAAACACAGGGAGAACATGTATTATTGTGTATGACTTGAGGACATAAGTACATGTGGACAAGCTGAAAAGACTTATCTCTATAAGAGATTAGTTATCCATATGGGACTAGTGGGACTCAGATGACTTCCATATTACTCAAGAATCCATGCATGATGAATGGATAATGAAGAAATTCATGGATCCGCTTTTAGACTTTATAGAAGAAGACTCCAAGTTCAGAAAAAGCTTGAACTATAAATAATTGATGTGATATTCTTGCTCTTGACCGAGAGGTGGATAATGAGATGAATGAATGAATTGGGGCGACAACCATACGGGAAAGGTAGATCATTTGATCTTCCATTTAGTTCGGGCCACAAAATATTGATAGTAATTTGTGTGGTCGTTATTCTTATAATCTCCACGCTGCTCTCATTTATTGTATGGGTATGAATGGGTTACTGCCTGGTGCATTGGCCAAAAAGTGTATGGCTTCGTAGTTTTTTTAACTCAAATTTAGCATATTTTGAGTTTTTTCTCTCCGGGGATTCTTTTATGGAACTCAGTTATATTCACATTCAACCAATTTTTTTACATATATCAATCATTATCCAAAATATTAATGGATATGACTAATTTGATTTTGGTTTGAACCTCTCCATTTTCTTTAGGAATTACAATTCTTTGAAATCAATTTTACCACTCTTTGTGTTGTAATTTGGGAAATCCGTTTCTCAAACAGTAACGCAAGAAACATAACAAGAAAGAATAAAGAAAGCATAAAGAGAAGAGACACCAGTATTTTACAGGTCCAGAAACTCAGTATGAGTGAGTTTCCTACGTCCTGGGGCCTAAAGAGGGTTAAACGCCCTCTGATATGCAGTTTATTCAGAGATCAAGAATCACAGGTATAGAGTTATGACATACAGATACAACGATAAAGAAAATTAATCAAATGAAAAAAACTCATATACAGAGCAGAACAACAAGAGCAAACAACTTGAACGGAAAAACATCAAGCTTAACAGATCGGTAAACAGTTATCAAAACCCAAAGAAAAATGGAATAGACGTCACCAATCTTCACAAGACAGTAGAGGAATCATAGTTCCTCTCACTGGATCTCCAAGCTGACAACCGTGAGCTTCACCGATCCTCCTTGCAGATTTGCCTCTCCACCGTTTGAGTATCAATCAAGATTGTGCACCGATCAAAATAACCCCCTTGTTGAGCTGAACAAGGATCTCCAAAACAGCATGTAAAGATACTCACTCTACAAGCCAGATTTTTCCCAAAACTCTCTCTCTCAGAAACCCTAATCGAAGAACTTTCAAGAGGATAAGAACAAGAGAGAGAGAAATGAATATCAGTGTATCAGTGTAAAAATGCCACGACACTCATCAGCTTAGATATCAAAGGGTTAATAAACCTTCACATTGATAAACGACACCGTTTCCAATTAGTTGCTTAAAAGACCTCACAAAGGTAAGAGAAGCTGATGTGTCAAGCAAAGAGATAATAGGGCCTAACAAATAATAGTAATCATGAGCCCATTAAGGATGAATGCAAGTTAAAAAAGCCCAATGTTTTAGAGAAATACATACTACACTTTGGTCATGTCAAACTCTAGGATTTAACTAGTTCGCCATTAGAATAATATCTCTTGAATCACATTCAACCGTTTTAAAGTAGAGAGTAAGTGAAATTAATCCGATCACCTCTTAGAATGCAAAATTTCACCTCTAATTCCGAAGACTATTTTCATGAATCCAACCTACCATACGATCTTTGAAGCATGGTCCGCTTTAGTGTTCCACCCTTCAAGTCACGCTTAAAAGGCGTTTGGTAGTTTTTTTTTTCAGATTCCTTAGAAACAGATATTTGGAATTTGATTTATCCACAATTAATATAAGGTTTATGAAAAAATTTCTGGGAATATAATTTTGTCATGATTTTGATTTGTGAACAATTTGGGTTATAAAATACCATCAAAAAATACCACCATAGAGGTGGTATTCTTAGAATTCCGGATATTAAGAAAATTTGATACTATTTATGGGGCAAAAATACCATGTGTTTTCATGCCCCAGCAATGATAGAAAATCGAAGACGAACGATGAAGAGGGAGCACGAGCGTCTTCGTCCCAACAACAACAAGAAGCCTGGCAAAAAATAGTGTTTAGTTTACTAAAAAAAAAGAATAATGTGTAGGGAAAAAATATTTTCATTTTTGCCAATTTGTGTTCGCGAATATTTTACAAGGTGAGAATATCGGACATGGTGGAAGTTGAACAGAAGCTTGAACAGCTCGAAGAAGCCATGGGAAGCGTTCAAGACGACATCACCCAACTCTCATCAGAAACCATCCACTACAACCCTTCTGACATCGGAAACTGGCTTGAAACCATGCTCTCCAATTTCGAATCCTTACCTCTTCCACCAGACTAATCAGACAAGAAGAAGCCTTTTGAAGATTCATATTTTTCTGGTTACTATCTCAAAGCCATTCTCGAAGCTTTCCAAGGAAATAATAGCGTCCACCTCATCAATTTCAGTATAAACCAAGAGATATAGACGTTCGCTTCAATTTTTAAAAAGTTCTGAATGAAAATAATTATAAAAGGTAATTTTGTAAAATTACCCTAAATTCTCAGTAATATTTAACAATCAAACAAACATAGAATTAGGAAATTTGAGCAAACATTCCTAATAATATTTGGACCTACCAACTCCTCAACAGATTTGCAGCTGTTACAAGCAATCGACATGGCCTCAGTCTCATCAGAAATAACTCTTCTAGTATCCCAAACGAAGTCATATTCGTAGGACCATCTCCAGTAATAGGAAATAGTGCCAAATCCTTAGTTGAACCTTCCCACGCTAAAAATACGTGTTGACTCCTTGAAACAAAACTCACTTTTTTTTTAGTAAGCAAACGCACTTTCTTCCAACAGAAAAAACCATTCATGTAAAACCATATGTAAGATTTATGTATTACAGTGGCTTGTATAAGGGTGCCTACAACTAGAAATGGTCCTCTCTCATGTGTTAATTAACATAATCATGTCATTTGAAAAAATCATAATCATAAAAAAGTGAATCAATATAGAAAGGTGAATCAATAATAAAAAATATATATATTAGAATAAATAGTTATAAAATCATCACCGTGTTGATTCACTTTATATGTTTATAATTTTCTCACATAATATGGTAATGTTAAATAAATGATGAGAGGATTCATTTCCATAACACATACGTGCATAAACTACCTAATGAGGCAATCAAAAGTTTGAACATTATTACATCGCATTTTCTCTCAAGTGGGGTTAAGAGGGTGTCTAAACGATCATACAACAGATAGCCAGACTTGTCCTGCGAATAAAAGGAACGGCATGATGCAGTATATGCACGGTATCTATTTTTCAAGGCCACCAATTTTAGCAAACTCAACAAGGTATCAATTCACACGACAAACCAGTTTCAGCTATGTACCGTTTCCTCGTTTTGCTCGCTTACAACGTCAATTTGAATCCCTGGGACAGAAAGTCATCCCTGTAAAAAAAGGAAGCAAGCATCACACTATCACACAAAGATGAGGAGGGTTGAAAAGTAAAATAAAAAGATAAAAAATGGCCCACCGATTCCGGATGTGATTGATGAAGACATAGATCTAAGGGAGTGAATCATCTCTAATGTGAAAAAGTGGTCATGTGGTCATGTTTTTTGATCACAACCACTCATTCAAAAGTTATATACTTTTCTCTTTCTTATCTCATCATGAATGAATAGTTGTGATAAAAAAACATGACCACATGACCATTTTTTTACATAAGAGAATCCACTCCCATTTTACAATAAGATGCATGCTGTGAGATTCTTATCTTAAATTTTTATAATCCACAATTCAACCTTGAAAAATTAACTCTAGCAAAGAGAAGGTAAATTATCCTTGGATTTAGATGGAACCCCACTATATTGACTCCAAGTTGACTCAACAAGAACTAAAGAAAACATGACATTCATATTTATACTTTTCTTTACCAGTCATTCTGTTCACATGGGTGAGCTCGACTTGTTCTAAGTCAAGGTCAACTTGCAAGCAGACAGAGACACACAGTACAGCCCGTTAATAAAAAGGGTCATTACAGCTATCAAATATCATCTCAAGGGGACTATAAAAAAGAGATTATGTGTACCTTCTCTTCCTTGTCTTTTCATCTCCCAATTTCTGGTGCTTGCTACCATCAGTTTGACTTAGTAAAGCTGGTGGGACAAGGCTTCCCACATAAACCGTGGCTTCAATTTTTTTGGGCATTCCTGGTATTTCAACGTGACTCAAATCTTCCCTTTTGAGGTTATACCAACTGAGCTTGCAACGGTCCTGTTCCAGGAGAACCTTGTCCCCATTTCTAGAGTAAGCCAAAGGCTTCACAGATTTTATGGGTCTCAAGTCAGAGGGTAGTTTTACAGTGAAAAGTTTACACCACGAGTCTTGTGATCCGTACACTGTCATAACCCAAACATCAAACAGTGTGCTAACTCGATTCTCAATCACACAAAGGCACCCTCCGAACAGTGCCACTTCCATTTCAAAACTCCCCTTCACGGCCACTGGCAGAGGCACTTCCCTGAAACTCTCACCCCTGAGGTCAAAAGCAACAACCAGATCTGGTTGATCTGGTTCGAGCTTTCGCGTAACTACCCAGTGCAAGGCACCGCCAACGAAAACACCCATGGTCCGTGCACAACAGAGAGCATAAGGCATGCTCGGAAGGGTTTTCCAACAATCCATTCTCAAACTGAAGAGCATGACTTGAGAATCGAAAGTGCGATTATGAAGATCAACGAAATACGAAATCCTCACCAGTTTATAGTCACCGGTGAGGGAATCGTATCCAAGTCCATAAACCCTTGCCGCGAAGAGGGAGGTTTCTTCGCCACGGTTGAGGCGCACCGCCGGCAGAATCCGATGCTTTCGAATTGAAGGGTTCCACATGACGATGTCCTCGGCGATGTTGCAGAGGCAGAGGAGGCCGTTGCAGGAACCCAAAACCTTGATGCGGTTGCTGTAACACATGAGCGGGTGGTTGAGCTCAACGACTTTTTCGAGGGAGTCCAATTCGATCTGGTAGAGATCGCTGTGCTTCCGGATAATGATTTTGATGTTGGAATTGGACTCGATGGATTTGTTGAGGTGAGAGAAGATGAAATGGGTGGCGTCAATCAGGGACCGCCACCACTTGCACGTCGATCGGAATCGGAGGAGGGAGCTCACCGGCAGGCGGAAGATTATCTCCGTGATTACTTCCGGCGGAAGATCCACCATTTTTTGGGTGGCGATTGCCACTGTTTCAGATATCCTCGTACACTCAGTTTTTTTTTTTTTTTTTTTTTTGTTAGGGTTTCTCAGAGTAGATTCTGGAGAAATCGAGAAAAGGGGAACTTTGCCGCAACCTTACAAGTTATAACACAGCTCCACTGTTTTACTATCTTATCCTTTCTCCTCCACCAAATAGTCAGTAATTCCACCAAAGTAGTTAGTAATTGCAAAACTTTAATTTCCATTATACCTTTAAATGCACTTCAGTATGTGATTGAATGATTTGTGCTGTTCATAATTAAGCCTTTTGGTTAATGTGTTTTAGTTTTTATTTTAAAAATTAAAAGTTAAAACATATAATAAAAACAATTTTGATCTCTTCTCTAAATTTGATTCCGAAAATTAAAAACAGTTATAACTTTTAGAATAATTTTTATAAAATATAGATTATCAAATTATTTTTTTATATTTTTATTTTAAAGATTAAAAAACTGTTCTTATAAATATAAATTAATTTTTTTCTTAGTTGCGTATATAACGGCAATAGTGTTTTTTTTATAGTTGCTTAATCTTATTCTTTTTTTTAAAAAACCTCTGATGTCGTTGTTTGAGTAAGTTTATATATCTATATTATGTAATTGTTTATTTTGATTATTATATAAGAAAATATTTTGAGAATTGGAAAAATTAATAAATGATATTTTGAGAATTTTATTCGTTTCATAATTTTTTCATCCTTTAAAATAATATAATTTTGGAATTGTCGAAAATTTAATCTCTTATGATACGAGAATTATAAACTCTAATAATATTATCAATAGTGAAATCTTTAATAAAAAGGAGATGAGAAGTTTCCGAAATAAGATGGCTATTATTAAATTTGAAATTTGCTGCGTAAACTGAAATCTATTTGATATTTTGCAAAAAACAAATGCATTTCATTATGTAATTTGTGAAAGTTTACATAAGTTATTTACTTCTCTTTATTTCCTTTTAACAAGTCCAGTTCGGTTGTTTTAAGTAGTTTTAGAGGGTTGTGTATGAGATTTAAAACTCACAAGTAATATTACCAAAAAAAAAAAAAAAAAAAACTCACAAGTAAGAAAATTAACAAAATGAGTATTTATTTATCCCGATTTATTTTTGGAGGATCAAAATGTCTTTTAAAGAATGGATAGTTTTGCAAGTCGGTGGTACATTGAAATGGAATCAACCTGTCTACCTAAAAAAGAAAAGGAAATGGAATCAATCAGAGGGGATCACGTGAAGCCATGCAAAATCTGGCAAATTAACTCGCGGAAGTCATCAAAAGACTTTCTAATTGAAGAAATCTTCACGCGGCTGAAAGGTCTATCTTTTTGGGGGTACAAGTTTGGTGTTCTATCTCATCTTGATTCCTGGGTTACGTGACGCATCTTTCTTTCTTTTTTCATTAAAAATAAATAAAAGATTTTAGACTCGGTCTTGAAAAGTACGCTATAGAGGTTCATTGGGCGTTTTCCAGCTACAGAAGTTGCTCAAAATTAAGGTTGGGCTGGAGAGGTCTGCTTAAGGCCCAATTAAGTTGAAGGGGATATAGGATACCGCTAGCAAATACCTGAGCCTCCATGGCCAAAAACCGGAACAAGTAGAAGAAAAAAAATCGCTTATCGAAGTTGGAAAAGAAATCCTTATCAAAGCTGTCATACAAATGTTTTCAATTTTTGTAACGACTTATCTATAATAAAGTTTCCAGGCAACTTCTGCGCCAAACTATGTCCCAATTTGCAAATTTTGAAGAGCCATCATCATATATTAATTAGAGATGCGTAAGATAACAAAAAAAATTGAATCGAATTCGACTGCACTTAAAATAATTGATTTTTAAAAATTGGTTTATAAATCGAATCTGTTTTTACAAAATTAGTTCATGAAACAGAGCTAGTTTTTAAAACCAGTTCAAGAACAATACCGAATCAAACCGTTTTTGAATCGAATCGAATATTTTTTGAACCGAATCAAACCATTTTCGAATCAATCTGAACCATTTTTATTACTTTATTTCTTTATTTTATTTTAATTTTCTTTTCTTTTCAGAAGAATATCGACCCGAATCGATTCCGAACCAAATCGAACTATTTTCGATCCGATCCAGACCATTTTCGAACCGAACTATTTAAATCAATTCGGTTCGATTTTTTAAAAATTTCAGTTCAATTCGACCCATGCACACTCTTAATGTTAATGTCATCATCCACCAAGGATTTTTGTAAAATGCTTTTCAAAGTTAAATGGTGCTAAAAGTTAAGCTATTAGATTAGAAGAGTAAACAACAAAAGCATCCGTCATCTTCAGCAGCCCGTCTCTTAAGTTTTTCCAGCAATAAAACCCCATGTTCTCATGTTAAGAGCAGAAGTCCATTTGATTCATTTTAAAATGGCTAATGACAGTTGTGTTGATGCTGTGTGCGCGTGATTGATACGTTATAATTAGAATAACGCTAGTAACAAGCTCTTTGACGTTATTTTTTCCCCAAAATTTTGTAATTTTTTTTGGTGAAATTTTCTTTTAAATTTTGAAGTTAAATCTCATACTAATTTTACTAATAGAGAACGAGTCCATACGATTTAATGGGATTCATGAGATTTCACCAAATAAATAAAGGAAATTATAAAGAAAGTATTGATAACATTTCTCTTAAAAGGTTTATACCATCTCTTATTTTTTCATTCAACACTTATATTATTTTAAAATTAAACAAAATGTATAATTTTTAAAACCATCCCTTATTTTTTAACAATTCACTGAAATTCAATGAAACCCATAAGGTCATAATAATAATAATAATTATCATCATCATCTTAGTTGCATGCAGCATGATATCAGGAGCCCCATTGTCCACGAGTAGTTAAGTCCAACATTTGTACCCAAAAAAAAAAGTCCAACATTAAAATAACAATGAGACACCAGTTTCTTCCACGTCTGAATGATATCGACCCTCTTTCTTTCAATTTCCAATTGGATAAGTATGTGAAAGATTCAAAAGAACCTTACGATCCCTCAATATGATTCAAATATGATATAAATTTTGTATGTTCGTGTATCGTGTTAATTTGTATTTCTATTGTGTCAATTAAAAAGTGATCCCAAAAAATTAAGTTGGTATTCGTGTTTAAGTTATTTATGTTTTTATTGTGTTTAAATTAAATAATTAAGTATTTATCTCCACTAATTACATATTAATCTATTAATGTGAAGTGATTTAAGTAATTTTAATTCAAAAAATAAAAAAAACTAATTATTTGTGTCATGTTATGCAACATAAAATATCAACAGATCATGTTTGTTTCAAGAGTTCTGATGAATATAACTATTCGTGTCATGTTCGCATCGTATAGACTTAAATCTATCTTTACAATTTGAATTACCACCCTTAAATCTAAATATTTTGTTAACAAAAGTGGTATAGACAATCGGCACGACACCGTATCCAATATTGGTACATGACATTAGTTATACAAGTAAAGTATTTTCAATTTACTTCATGATATCGAGTCTTAAGATATATAAAAACTCAATTCAAGATATATAATATAAAAATTATTAATGATTTTTATTCACAAATTTAAATTATTAGGTGAAATAATTTTTTACATAAGGCTCCTTATTTACGCTTCAAATTTAAAGAACTTTTATATGAGAATATGTTAAAAAATATAATATAAATATTATTAATGAACCAGTTTAACTTGTTAGGTGAAATGATTTTATTTTATTTTTTGTAATAAAGCCATCGCGTAAGCAATTTAATTTGTTCTCCTCGCTAACAGTATGACAAGTAGCACTGTAGCAGGATGCAAGTAGCATTTCTTCTTTGTTTTGGGTATTTTGGCAGACATGCATTTTTGTGCGTTATACAAAGTTTATCTATTTTATCAAGATGCTATTGCTAGACTTCATGTGAACCAGTCACGGACAGGAAAATGCTGAGTAATCAGATATACAACCTTATCCAAGGTCGTCTGCATGCCTCTAAATGACAAACAGCAAGGAGGAAAAATGACACATTAAATTTAAAAAGTATTTTCTAAAAACCACAACACGATCGATGGCACTTCATACCAGGTTTTTTGTTTGAATTCGCTATGTTTTTCTCCTCGTAAGTAATGTAAAATGTTTTAGGGAGTATATTAGATTGGGATTTTAAAAGATTTTAATGAATTATTTTTGGATAAAAAATTCTATTGATATTCAATTAAGATTTAAAAGGACTGAAAAAAAATCACGTGATATTCGATTAGAATTTTAAAAGATTATTTTAAAGTCTATCCAAATCCTTTAGTATTCAATCAAGATTTTAAATAATAGAAAATAATCTTATGATATTCAAAAATCTGACAATTTTAATGAATTTTCTATTGGAGTGAATTTCGTAAGACTTTTTAGTGAGAAATATAAATATGATGTATTTCTCACAATCTGACCCTAAGTCCTAAATTTTTTTGAGATTTCTTTATTGCAGTGTTTTTTTTCTATGTACTCATTAATAATGTACTTCTAAGAGTACATAGATAGTGTAATTTATAAAAAAAAAATTGTAAACAGATTATTCCCTTAAAATATATCATATATTTGCTGCCATTTTTAATTAAGGAAAAAAAAACTAATATCATAGTCGGAATGCCCTGTACAAATTAATGTTGGAATTTTCTTTTAGGATACAGTTCTAGACCCAAACTCATCTTTAACTTCTTGTCGTTGTTTTCGATTACGCATCTTTGCTGACCAATTGCAAACTTATTTGATTTGCTGAGAAAAACAGCTTCGCGGTTTCCAAGAGCCACTTCCATTCTCGGCAATCGGCTTTGTTACAGAGAGGCATTACAACAAGACACCTTAAGTTTGTCTTGTTTTTTATATGGGTTTATCCTTTAATACAGCGTCTTTCCCAATTTTGCAAACGACATAATTTGAGATTTTATGAGATAATTTTATTTTATTATGATAGGAGAAATATTTTTTTATTTTCATATTACATTAAATTTTATGATAACATCCTTCGTCGATTCTTAAGTTTATAAATACCCACTTCAAGTTTTGCTAATTTGCCTTTTTTTCGTATTTTAGGAGTGTGTGGGAAAAATATCTTCAATACTTTAATTTCTTAGTATTAAAGAGTCGATATATTTTTTATTAAAATTAAAAAAATAATATAATTAACTTTATCTGTTCTATTCATCTTTTTTGATTAACGTCACATAAATCTTATTTTTTATATTTTTATTTTCAGAGCAACTACTCCTATGATAAAGATGATATGTTCACATGCGGG